GACGGCGTACTTCACGGAGCAGCGTGCTTCCTGAGAAACTGATCGCCACAACTTTCATTATGGACCGCCCAGATTCATTACCGCTTTCACAAGAGCCCGTCGCAGAACCCAAGCCTGATACAGTTCAATCTAGCCCACTCATTCTAATTCTTCAAGGTCCATCTTAATACTCCTCCATTTTCATCTTGGTCTCTCAAGTAGTCTTTCTCCTAAAATGTATGAATTCCCAATCTCTCCCACACGAGCTACATGTCCCGGCCATCTCATCCTCTTTAATTTGATTACCGTAACAATATCTGGAGAAAAGTATTAATTTTTAAACTACTAATTACTGGAGTTTTCTACAGCTTGCTGTCAATTACTTTTTCTTAGGTTCAGATATTCTCTACACTTAATTGTGTTCTTCAGGCGGACAGACGAACACATCAGAAGGCAATTTTTATATGTGCTTCATAAATGTCATAACCTGCTAATCTGTTTACGGTGAGCTGTTAGCCCGCGCCCAGTCTCTCATCTGAATGAGAATCGCATGTCGAGTTCTCGCTACAGCTTATTCAACCTATTTCCCAAGTACCCTGTGAATTTGGAGGCCGTCTCTTGCAAACCCAACCTGAGGACACGCCATGCCAGAGTGACGAGCACTGATACAGCAGAATGCATAAGAAACCAGCAGTAATAATTATATTTACCTCTTATTTTGTGGGCATTATTTCCTGCAACAAGTACAACACTGGAGTGAGAAATTTATACTAAATTCAGAGAGAATTATCTGATATAAAATTACTAGATTGGGTTACAAGAAATTACACTAAATGCCACTAATGTTGTCACAACCTGTTCACATATCTACCGCCATACTCTTATCAGTGTTTCCCAGAGCGGAAGCAGACTCCTCCTGGGGACCATTGGTCTAATTATAATGTACATAAATTACTATGGAGAAGCCATATTAAATTAAACACAATTTAATAGAATTTCAAATATGTAATAAAAGCCCATAAGTAGGCCTGATTATTTTTTGGAATTGATAAATGAAATTTTCAATCATTTTTACACGTTGGGCTGTCTTAAATCACAAGAAAGGAGTCTCAAGTAAGAGATTTTGGGAACCACTGCAGTAGTTGACAAGGAGTTGAAGGTAGGAAGAAACGCTTCTCCACTCGGTATCTTTGTTGTTAAGGATCCTGTCCTTGACATTTCGCTATATACGTCCTGTTAAAACAAGAAAGTTTGTTTCATGCATGACAAAGGGCGTAAGGTCATGTAAGTATGTGCATGGCGTGTTGTTTGGCGTAATATCAAATGAAAACAAACGTTTTTTGTTCCACTTTCCCTGCACGCTGCCAGGTCCAGGATGAAAAGTTGAGATAACTGATCAAACAGTTTGGCCTTCAGAGAAATAAGGATGACGACAAAGTGATTATCGACGCATGTGAGAAACGTTAGTGTAGAATAGTTCAGTGACAGAGCAATGTGAGAAAGGAAATGACGGGGAGAGAGCAAGGCCGGGGCGAGAAACAGAGCAGAGAACAAAAGCGAAAAATGCAGAGGTGTGGAGAAATTAAAAAAAACAAACTAAGAAAATAGAGTAAAAAGATCACGAAGATCAAAGGAAGAGAGAGAGAGAGAGAGAGAGAAAAGATAGAAATACGATCAGCAAAAAAAAAAAAGGTAGCTTCGGACTTAGGAAGGTCGATCCATGATTTCCAGTCGTCGTCTTCAGCTGCAGCGTGGAGCTGACTTTCAGATTTTTTTTAGCAACATATTGGATGTTCTGCATGTTGAACACGACTGTACGTTTGAGTAGACGGATGAAGTAGTTTATCGCTTGTTGCACTGCCAGTATTTATACGTTCAAATGCGCAAATGTATATTTCCCCTCACATTTGACGTCATCACATAGTTTAGTTATAATTGTAATTTATTGTTCGCAGAAAACCTTATGTTCATTGGGCAAGTGGACTGACTTTCGTATTCGCTTCGTTGAAAGCGCAGTACCGAGAATCGTCTTGAACAACGAAGGCCACGCACTGCCACTGTAGCAAGTTTAGAAAGCTGTCGTCAGCGTGCAGCGACCATCGATACGTTTGAAAAATTAAAGTTTATAATATTGCCCTTCAGTTTTCGCGGCTGGAGTTGGGTGTAAAACTTCGGATTTCGGGAATTAGCTGCGTCGAATGTTGAAAAGTAATCTTACGTTTAGGCAAACACTGCAGTTGCCATCTTCACCCTGAATTCACATTTTTATTGACTCTAAGATTGTTGTTTCTTAGTAGAAAAGATCCTCACATAACAAGCCACACTTATTATAATTTACGTTTCACTGGCTTGGAGTCTGTTTTTATCGTTTTCCTCAATTTAGCAAGTTTCAGTCTCGTACAGTGAATTCGATACTGATAAATAAGCGCGATACTGTTTTAATAGCTGTATTAATTACATCTTTTTCAGTCGCCGAGCTGTAGTTTTATTGAAAAAGTCAATTATTCCAACATTTGTTCAACCGTAGACACATAAGCCTCATACAATTGTGACGACATATTTAGTTAATGTTTTGTTCTTTTGTCTGTAACAGTGTCAACGACTTCAGCTGAGGCTGTGCGTTGCAAATGACGATCTCACGGTGCCAGTGTTTCACCAGTAAGATTATAGCTTTGTATTTTCTGTTTGACGTATTTAATTTGATAATTTACGGGCCTTCTGACAGAGGAGGAGGACAGGGATAGAACTCCTGGTCGTCTCACTAAACTTTTCTCTGGATGCCTTGTCTGCCTGCACAACATTGCATGTTGAGCTGCAGATAGGGCAGACGTCTTCCGGGTCTGGCTGATAACTGTGAATATGTTGAACAAGCAGACGTTAAGATAACAGCCTCTACGTGAGGCCAGCAAACTTGGTAAAAGGACCAGCTGGTTACAAGATCACTTCACTTCTGCGGATTGTTAATATGATCGTGCCATGTTATGTTCTTTTGAAAATACTGGTCTTAATCGTGCCATGTTATGTTCTTTTGAAAAGACTGGTCTTATTTATTATACTTCTTTTTAAAAAAACGAATTAAATGAACACGTTATGAGAAACTACTGAACAGATCCGTCGCTGAAGACAGTCGGAACGTTCACATAAAAGCTAAGCCGAATGTAGGTTTGGTTATACACACTGGCGATGGAAACTTCTTCCTCCGCGTTACAGCCCTGAAAACTATATAAAAACTGAAGATGTGCGTAAATAAATTTCAGAAGGTACTGGAAATGATTCTGCTGAAACCTGATTAAGTCGGCTTACCAGAATCTTAGAAAAGCAAACTTATTCAAAGTCCATGGCGCTACTCGTATGAAATCAGAATTCCCATTTCTGTTGTCTCACCCTCGGTTGTACGTATGTGGGTACATCTATTCTATAAGGCAGTGGTCAAACATTTCACAGAGTACCAGTACTCGTTTGGACGGTAAGTTTGAAATTTTGCTACAATACTTCAATAGGCTAATCATTGCGTGACAGTTTCTCATTTCTCTTACGTTTTCTTTTGATGAACGTTGTCGACACAACTAATATCGAAAGGACTAATACCTAACCAAATACCTCCATAGTACAGGATCATGTTTCAAATGTTTATAGTTACTCAGTTGACCTTTCATGGAATCAGAAAGTTCATTATCGTGTTGACAATCCTCACGTGTCCTGTATCTCAGAGATCAATTTAATATTATTTCATCTACGACTACATCTCCAAAGTGGTCTCTTCCGTCCTGCTGTTCCAGCTACGATGCACACGCTACTGTTTTCATACCGGAAGTGTGCTGCACGACCGGTTTATCTCATGTTTGATGTAATAATGCTTGTAACAAGTGATGAGTGCGGGTTTTAAAATCCACGCAATATTTACCAACCTCCTGTTTCTTCTTTGGGTCCAAATATGCGGAGCAGGTCACTCACTAGTCTGCCTGAATTATTTAAGCAAATCCAGATCATTATAGCCGCCGGCCGCAGTGGCCACGCGGTCTTAGGCACGGACCTCGTGCGCCTGGCAGCTGGGACCGTGGGTTCGAGTCCCACTCAAGGCAAGGATGTTTGTCCTCGTCCTTCCTCTTCCAGTCTGATGGATAAAGACTGGTCATGGAAGGCAAGGCGAAACCACAGTGGTACTTTCGCAAGAAAACCCCGATGGGGTCACGACGGTCAAAGCTGACCATAGAGACTAAGAAAAAAGATCATTATAAATTCACTCCTCCACAAATCTAGTCTTCGTAACGCGGGTGTGCTGAAACAAATGCACACCAGCGTTTTAGTACAAACGTTGGTTTGTGGCCGGACACTTAATGAATAACGGCGAATATTCTGTGTGAGATTTGAAGTTTTCATGGCGGAGGGACGATGTTCTGGGTTTTAGCACCACGTATACTTATAGGTAGATGCGAGTCTATACAACGTTAAACTCTAGAAGAAGAATAACAAACTGGTGGAAAATTATAAGACACTATCAAAATCAGGTATTTTACTGGAAATATTTCGCAATTTGGCTAAAAGGGTAGGGGAGTTGGAATGATTGGCTGCTATAGGCCATAGTTCTAAATACTATACAGTAACAGGAAGAGAGTGAGGGATTATCCTTGAAAAAAATTGTTTTCATGTGTTCTTTGGGTGGCTTCCATGAACTGAACAAAGATTAAAACATGTTGGTTCGTATTCCGTATCTCTTATGTCGGAAATTATTCGACTGACTGCCAATAAATTTGTTGCCCAGAGTCTGTACTGAAAGGAGTAGGCGAGATTTAATTTTATCCGTAAGATGTATAAATTCTATTTGAAACTTTTTCCGATGTGGTTAATATTAAATCATTTATTATTACTTCTCGTAGCGCGACTAGCTTTGCAGTAGGCCTACAACTGCAACGACTGAATGGCAAGGAATGCGGTACGCATATTGGAACGAAATTTCACCGTTTCACTCTTTTCGCTGTATCCGGTTGGATCATTTTGTGTCGTACTGATAGGGTACTCACTTCCAGAAGGCTGCCATATCTGAAGCAAACTGCCGTTCACTCCTGGGGAAGGTTCACTTGTTACTGCTAATGCGGATGGGACACTTATAATAACATTGGGACTTGAAGGTGTAGGACACTGCACCTTGCCATTAGGCAACCCACTAGACATGGGATCCAACACTTCATCCACATCCACTTTCGAATCATCGCAATTCCTATAACCATTTTCACTGTGATGTGCATCAATAGTTCCGTTTTTTGTCGTGCACACAAATTGTTTAATTGTCACTGGACCGTTGTAAAACGTTTTATTGCCAAAATGAACGTCCGATGAACTGCTTACCACTATATTACCAAAGCTTGGTCGAGATTCGCTTATTTTTTTTGCTTCTAATGCCAATGCGTTACTAGAACAGGCAGAATCTATTTTCAAGTCACTATCATCATCATCGCCGTCGTCACGGTAGATGTCAGAGGTAGATTCGGCGTCTTCCTCTTCTTCGCTGTCGTCGAGTACCACCTGATCACTCCACTGGTCGACACCCTGTCTTCCTTCTCTTTCGAGATGATGGAGGTCACCCTCGCTGTCATCGTCTTCTTTGGGTCCAGGGACAGAATCGCTGTCCGCCGCCCGCTCAACATCGCGCCGACTCTCCACCATCCCCGATCTCCGCACATAGCCAACTGACGGCGCGGCGCTGCCGACACGCTGAACCGGCCCACAAGGACTTGCGCGATGACGTAACGGCAACAAAACATGTTTCTTTGAAAGAGACATCTGAAGGTCGTAGTATCTGTCATCTTGTAGTAGGTTTTCCCCATAGAGGACGTACACCTTTTGTTCTCATTTCGGGAACACGTTAGCGGTATCTGAATGAAATATGATGTGTTACAGAATTTCCAATCTCAATTCTTTCAGAGTTGATGCCTCCTGTGGCAATACTATCCAAGGTTAAAAAATTATAACCTTATGCTCTATCAGGCGACATGCAACAAGACAGCCAGTGACCGCCGGTTGATGGAGAACTGAGTCAAAATACAGAATTCATCCCACATTTTTTTATAAATCTTCGGTTTTTAAGGCCGGGCGCAAACGGAGCTAGTGG